TCAATTGGAGTGATTCAAGAGCCCACACAAAGTTTGTAACATACTCTATCTAGTGAGATAAGTTTGGACACGATTCAATGGTTTGATCTAAAAAAGCATACCTGAGTGCAAAAAGCTATTTTTCCTTTCAAAACTTGAACTCTAAGTGTTCAATTCTCATTTATTGTTCTATTAGACCACTTTAGACCTTGAACCAAGTCTAAAAGGACTACATACCCTTAATTAACACATCAAATCACATATATCACATCAATTACTCATTTTGACCTCTCAATATCACATTACACATTTGTGGGCTTATATGAGGCATAATACATATAACTACATACACACATATACTTGTTTCATTTCAATCATCTAACTTTCTCATATGAGGCTAAGCCTTACCATACAGATAGGAATCACAAATATACTTGACTCCTATAAATGAGGCCAAACCTCACCATTTGGTCAAGTTCACACATATACATATAGTTTTCACAATCAATTCACATTCAAAACAAGTAGAATGTAACATCTCGAAATTTTAAGACTTGGATTTATTTTAAAAAAATAAAATAAAATATATATAATTAAATTAAAATTAAGAATAATTTGATAGAGGTCTAGATTTAAATTTTACTAAGCAAAAGTTGGGTTTTATTTTATTTTTAACTATGAAAAAAATTACCAAAGTTGACCCGAGCTTTTGTGCTATAATAAAAAATGTTGGGCCCTTTCTAGTAATTTTCTCCAAAGTTTTATATCAGCATTTTAAAGGGAAAACAGACACAAAAACAAAGAAATGAAATAAGGAAAAGAAAGGAAACGCATGAGAGGGAGACAGGAAGAAGAGAAGAGAAAGAGAGGAAGTTAGGCTTGGATCTAGGAGGTTTTATGACCGTTGCAAGCTCGGTTACACAATAGGTAAACTCCTTACTTCAATCCTCTTCCCGTCCTCTTGATTTTCTTCAATTTTTGGACGAGAAAATTTTTAGATTTTGATCTTAAAGGCTTTATTCTTGTAAGCTTTTATTTCTTTGGATCCTAGGGAGGATGTTTTGAGTTTCTATATAGTAATCTAATGTTTTGACTAGATAATTGGATGAAAAGAGGTGTTTTGGGCATAAATTAAACCCTAAGAGATTGGGTTTTTCTCCTCAATGGTTTAACCTATTAATTTAGTTATAATTTTACTATTTGAGCCCAATAAGATTTAAATTAAGGTTTGGTTTTCATTTTATGGGCTAATGGTGAAAGTTGATGACATTAAGTGAAGGTTTTTAATTGATTAAAAATTATATGAATTGGAAATTAGCCTAGTAATGGCTAATAAATAGTTTTGGTGGTTAAGTAGTGTTATGTGAATGGTTGATTTAATATATGGACCATTAGGATGGATTATGACTCATTAACTTAAGTTGTGTGGTATAAGTTATAGTCTTTATTAATGCTATTTGTCATGATAAGTGATATGGATCACTTATATGTTGTAGGAATTGTTGGTGAAACTTATTGAGAAGTTAAGGAACAAGCTGAGTCCTATTTTGTACAAGAGGAACCCTTTTGGTACCAAAAGGTTGAGGTAACAGGGAAATTTATATTTCTTATTACTTTGTTTTAGCTATTTTTGAATAAATATTACTAGCTATCATGTATTACATGTTTTAAAAGATTAAATGTGCTTTATAAGGGGTTATGGGGTACTACTTTGATTATAGTGCAAATATGTTTTCTAATCGTTTAACAACAATGTTTTTAGAAATGAAATTTGTTTACATGTATTATAATCATAACGAATAGAAGTTGCATGTAAGGAAGTGTAACTAAGTAAGGTACCTTAGATAGGCTAAGGAACCGTTTAAGGGAGATTTGTAAATGTTATACTACTTTAGAGTATTGAAGTGGTCAATACTTGGGAAAGGTAGACATGAATAAAAGGCATGATCTCGATGGGAGTTCACCAATAAGAATGTATAGACTTTTGATATTCTATGGTACATTGCCAGTACTCAGTGTTGCCTTACGTATTGTAGGCTCAGTGCACTAAAGTGGTTAGTATATTGAGTGTTCGAAACCTCTCAGTGGGAGAGGGAATCCGACATATGAAATGTGAGGTTGAGTGTCTAAGCCAAGGTAGCCCTCACATGGAGAGTAAGTTGGGCTGGCTTTGGGAAGGACTTAGCTTTGACTGGTCAGGATTCATGTCGAAGGGGCATAGGCAGTTCGGTAGATTAGATCATGCCTTAGATTTTGTTTTGTGCTTATGGAGGTATAAGTAGGTATAAAGTTTACCTACGAGTTAAAGAGTGTCAGGAGGCATTCTGTTGGTCATGAAAGGCCATACCGGCCTATGTCATGCATTCATGATTTTAAATGACTAAATTATATATTATGTTGAATTTATTATTCTTTTATTTGATTATGGCTTACTTTGTAATAATTAATGTAGATTTCTCTGTTACTGAGACTGTGGTTGTCTCACCCCTTTCTTTTCAATATTTCTAGGTCCAGGCGAAGGAACCAGTGGAGGACGGGGAAAGGAGCAAAGCTAGTGGTTGTTTGTGAATTATAAAGAACTGCAACCCTTTTCTTTTGAGAAAATCTATTGTAATGTATTTAGGATTAGGGTGCCAGTAGGATATGATTATGTATATGTGTGTGAGTATGTGTAGATTGTATGGCTTGTGTTTGAATTTTTGTTTGCTTGTAGACTTATGGCTAGGAAACTTGGCCATGGTGTGTGGTTTTGATGGATTTATTTAGTAGACCAAGTTTTCACTACAAACAAATATATATTTTGGTATATATGTGATTCCACAAGCAAATGCAAAGTGGTTGCATTGCAAATGGTGTGTTATATAAGCAAACATACACCTTGGATAGAGAGAGTAGGTGCATGGGCCCCACAGAGATCTCTGAGCTAAGTGAAAATGTTTAGCGTGCGTATTCATATGTGTATATGATATTTGAAATAGTTTTTGGCCACTTTTGTGTGATTTGTGCATTTTGGAGATTTAGGGTCCATTTTGGAAAATGGTACTTGGTATAAAGGGTTTTTTTTCTCATTTAAATGTTCTATCAGATGTTTTTACTCTTATTTAATGTGTCCAAAGTGTTCCCACAAGTTTGTGACTATTAGGATGAGATTTGGACAATTTTGAAAATGGTTTTTACTAAAAAACTGTACTTTTGCATCTGGGTGTCCAAATCTTAATTGACCTTTGGATTTCTCTAAAATTTGGGTCATAAGTAAAATCTTTTATAAGCTTCATGTGGGCTTTGGAATCACATCGATCAGATACCGGATGAAGAAACAGCACACTCTGAAATTTGGTCCGGAGGAGCTGTCATGATAGCAACATTGATGATGTTGCAACATGCATGAAATTCAATCCGTCTGTTAGATATTTTCAAAATTTAGTATGCTAATAGTACTATTTGAAAATGACATTTGAGCTTTAGAATTTCTTTGATTAGAGGTCAGATGATGAAATGATGCACCCCAGAAGTTAGTCCAAAGGTGCTGTCATGACAGCAAAAATGACCAAAACTTTAACATGTCTAATTTTTAATCTGACCGTTAGATCTTTTGAAATTTGGTACACTTATAGTATCCTTTGAATGTGACATGTGAGATTTAAAATTTCTTCAATCGGGGATTAGATGATAGAACGGCGCCTCTCAAAAATTGGCCCGGGAGGGCTGTCATGATAGCAATTTAATGCTGTCATAATAGCATCTTTTTACCTCGCTTTCACCTAGCTTGCTTCCGTACTATAGGAAAAACCTATAAATTTTTTTTATTTAAAAAAAGGTTTTAAATATTTACTTTGCAATTGTGTATCTACTTAGTGATTTAAATGGTTTGTTTCCTAAGTTAGTTTTAGGATTAACTCCTTAACCACCCTTAGTTTATTTGAATTGTGTGATTTTTGGATAACACTCAAGGTAAGTGTTACATAGAACAACAATTACTTGATTGATATTTAGGCCTACCCACATACCCACTACTGTAGTACCCTTGGCGAGATGCAGCGTCATATACACAAGCAAGTTTTCAACCACAAATCATATACAAATTTACATATTCATATTCATACATCCTAGTTAGCAATTCAAATCTCTAACTATAACTTTATACAATCATAACATATAATTGGTCATACCACTATCAATCAAGGCTACTCTTTCCTTACTTCCTCTCCCAACGTTCTTGTACTCTCTTTACCTGTATAAAAAAGTAATGAAGTAAGACACATGTCCTAATAACTTAGATATAACCCCAAATACTAGTTATAAATAAAATCATAAACAAGAGATAGAGTAGCATTATTTTAACAATAGTATGAGTATACATGCATTTAATATCCTTCTCATTCACGGTTATGCTCATGCACTCTCGATTTCACCTAGCAGAACAAGCTCTACACTTAAACTAGGAGAAAGTAATGGTCAAATAAAGGAGAATGACAATTTCATGTCTCATACTTAATCAAAATATCATGTGATAAAAGGTATGTGATATGGTTATATGATAGGTTATATAAATTATTGAACCCTATATGAATTGGGTAGTCACAATATATTACTAGAGGCCACTTATAACTTGTAGGCTAGTAGCATTATTAGCCCACTGCCAACTTCATATAGGCTTATAGGGTCACACACAATAATAGCCCAACTCGACCTATAATGTCTAACTTTATATAGGCCTATAGGATTGCACACTAAAGCACTTACATTACTTACATTTTGAACTTGACTCAATTGAGGAGCCAACATCTTACTAATCTTCAAGGCTAAAATATCCAATTGATTGTCATCCAATGTGTTAAATTAAATTTACCTTCTTTTCTCTTGCACTATATTAAGCACAATTGGTTTCCATCTTCTCTATCAACTCCCAAGCCTTAATACGTGTTAAATCAATTAAAGCTCCCCCATTAGCGGCATTAATGTAAATCTTATCTTTTTCATAAAGGCCTTCATAAAAATACTATACAAGGTTCTCATTAGAAATTTGATGATGGGGGCACTTAGAAAGTAACCCTTGAAACCTTATCCAATATTCATAAAAGGATTCATCAAAACCTTATTCAATCCCACAAATTTATTTCCTCAAATTTGTAATTTTAGAGGAGGGAAAGAACTTTTCTAAAAACAATTTTCTAAGTTTTACCCAAGTAAAAACTTTAATGTAGGAGGGATAATTGAAATACCACTCTTCGGCTAAGCCTTTAAGGGAGAAGACAAAAGCTTTTGCTTGCACGTCATCAACATTCACATTCATGGGCTTTATAGTATTACACACAAGAAATAGAGAATGTAAGAATCTATGGCAATCCTCACTTGGTAATCCATGGAACTTAGGAAAAACATTGATCAATGAAGGTAAGTTCAAACATGTTCACATTAGGAGCCATGTACAACCCATAAGGATTATTATTCCAATTAGATGAAGTCAATTGCCTAATGGACCTCTCATCCTAAGGATTATGCATTCCTACAAATTCTCTATTGATGTGTGCATCCTCATACAAGTTGTAATTCGCATTCCTATTGTTATCATTGTTATTTTCCAACCCTTGGCCATTACCTTGACCTAAAAATGGATCTACCCTTTCCATTGATGAATTGACCGCTAGCTGATTATTAATTTAAGGTTGTGACATCTTGAGTTTCCAAAGAGTTCTTCCAATCTCTGTGTCTACTTCAACAAATGATTTTAGATTGGCATGAGTCATAAACCAATGAATTTAGCCAAGAGTATGACAAACAACACAACACAAGACTCAAAAGAAAGAAAAATGCACCTTAAGTTGGCTAAAGACACAAGAAACAAGAATTAACTAAACTAAACCACAAAAGCAAAGAAATTTTTTTAAAAAATCAACAAACAATAAAATAATCACACAAACAAAAATAACTAAAAAGAAAAGAGGAAAGAGTTAGAAAGGCTCATTTGAAGAAACTTTACTTCTTCTACAAACTCTACAAATGGTTCTCTAGAGACAATGAACTTGTAGATTTTGTAGCACCCAATCCACACGAGCAATTCTCCTGAAAATTTTATGAGAGACAAACACAGGATAATGATACAAAAATTTCAGCTAAAAATTCCTTCCCAATAGTTCCCAAAAATATTTAAAAGTTGGTCTACAGTTTTAGAGAAACAAGGTTTTGTTCAAATGACCTTTTAAACTTCCAATAAATTTCCCAATAGCACAAAGGTAGAATTATGAAAAATGATCAAAATATTAAAAAAAAGATAAGACAAAAAGGAACAATATGAGATTTGAACTAAATAATTTGGACACACAATGTGAAAATTATGCTCACTTAAATTTTTCGCAGGGTTTCGAGATCCTTTATAAAGGCTCCCTGGACCTTGTTAAATGTGGTCAAAATAATTTCCACATCCAAAATTAACCAAACTAGTTTTGAAATGAATCTAAGAGATATATCTTTTCAATAAATTAATTTCAAGTACAAACTATTCCAAACTCTTCCCAGTTAATTTTTCAAATCAAGCTAGAAACACTGAAAATAGAACACTGTTAAGCACTATACTAGAAAAAAAAATGAACGCAAATTTTTTTCTTTTTCAAACTTTGTTACACAAAACACAAAAATCACACAAAATGAAAAAAATGAAAACAAAACAAATCAAAACACCAAGAAAACTCTCCTAAGAGTTAAACCTAGCCTCTCTAGCAGTGGCACCAAATTTTGATGGAGTATAGTCACTTTACCCTCAAAATTAATTAGAACTAACCTAAGTGTAGTATGTAGCCAACCCTAGGTCTTCTTACAAGAAGGTTATTCTAACTACCTAAGCAAGTAAACTTAGTGAATAAATTAACTATTTGATTGAAGTTGTTTCTAATTAACTAGTGAAATTAAAGTACAAACTAAGCTAAAATGTGTGATTAACTTCCCTTATCAAGTAGGAACTCTAGGACATTACCAATGGAAGAATCTTAGCTTGCAAATGAATGTGGAAGCTCACTCAAACTTCTCCCCCTTGGTTGAAAATGATGATTACTTAAGACAACTATCTTAAGCAACTTAGCTTTACTAATTCAATTCCTTAAGACGTAATTACAAGCCTTGAGATTGTCTTATTAGCTTAGCTTAGAAATTAACAAAATGTTTAGTCAATCTTTCCTTCCATAATGCCATGGCTAAAGGTAACTTAAGCACAAGACTATGTAACTCAAGCATTGAATTAAATATTTACCAAACATAACAAATGTAAGGTTAATGTAAGACCAACACCACTTCAAAATCACATTTACATGTAAATTAAGAATAGTGGCCAAAACTTCCAATGACAAAAGGAGAGAGAAATTGAATGAATAATTATGACAACTATTCAAACCAACTATAAACTAGAGTCAAGATGAACTACAAATTAACCATAGTTATAGTCTATAAATTAAAATGAAATAAGATGAGGATTAGGTTGAGTTTAGCCAAAGACAATTTTCAATGCTCCTCTTCCATCAACTCTTTCCTAGGATTTCATTAAGAAATTAGCTGTAAGACACTATCACCATCTTGCTCTCTAAGAAGCTTGACCTGGCCAAGTTGAGCTTCATGAAAATGGTGGAATCCAAGCTTCAATCTCCTTCCAAGTGTGCAAGGTTTGGTCGGCCAAGAGAAAAGAAGAGAATGGTGGAGGAATTTGGTGGATTTAATGGCATAAAGTGGGATAGTTAGGGCTGGACGTGAGGTTTGGTGTAAAGAGAAGGAGGAGAAAATGAAGAAGAAGAAGAATTAGGGAGAGAATGGAAGAGATAATGAAAATGTGTGTTAATATAAAAATAGAGTGAGTGTGGCATGAATTTTGGTTAGCTTTAGCTAATCCCTTCAATTAAAACAAAATAAAAAAAAAGTAAAAATGCATTTAGGACCATGTTAATCACTCTCACAAGTATACGAGATCGCAGTAATAAATTACACAAAGTATTCTAGGTGTCGAACCCACAGGAAAGTTGCACTTTTACTAATATAAATAATTAATAGTTTAAAAAATAGATAAAATGGATCATTTGATGAGAATATAAATAATAAAAATAAATCAAAAAAATAATGATGATGAAAACACAATCTATTGAAACATTAAGATTTAGGATTCACTCTATAGGTTACTAGTTTCTACCTTTTGAGTTGACTCTTTAATTAATTATACTTACAACTATTCATAAAATATCCTAATATTCTTTCAAATTATTAGTCTCTTTTTAATTAGCGTTGAATTCTTTCTCACAATACCCAAGCAACTTATTAAACTGTGAAGCTATAGTTTAAGTCACCATAAATTTCTAAAACTATCCTCATCCTAGTTATTTATGTTTATTTCTCTAGATCCAGATTCTTTCTTCACCTCCTAGTCTATCAAGATTACCCATAGATTTAATTAAACAATGGCCAATCATTAAATTAATATGAAGAACAAGAGAAATAAATATAATTGAAAAAAGAAAAAATATTCATTAATATAAATGCAAAGAGTCAAAAAAAAAAGAAAATAAAAAACTAGCTCCTAAGTTAGGATACATCCCTACCCTAATTGGGTAATTTAAAAATACATAATAAAATTAAATAACACTGTTCTAAAATCTCTAATCATGAAAAATGATAACAGAAAAAATTAAGGAGTAGAAAAAAATAATTATGATGTGTACAACTCCTCAACAATCTTGCTTTTAGCTTTTAAAATGCTTCTATAGGCTTCAAATATCTCGAAGAGAATTCTTGAGGTACTCATATAAGTAATTGAGTACTTTTCTCTTGTTACAGGGGAGCATCTATAGTTAAAGTGGAGGTTCATTTTTTTATTCCTAATTAATGCGAAACACTAATATATATATATATATATAAAATATTTTCTCTTAGTGTACCCTTTTTTCATTCTTTGAAAATTACGTCTTGCTCGCATCGCATCACCAGGTTATATATATATATATATATATGTCACATTTGCTTCCTCCGCTTCATTCCTTATATATATATATATATATATATGTATGTATGTATGTATGTATGTATGTATGTATGTATGTTAGGTATTATCTTTTCCTTGCTTTTGCTTTGTTTTTCTTCTACTCCTCTTGCAATTGCATGTGTATTTCCTCATCTAGAGAGAGAGAGAGAGATATATATATATATATATATGTATGTATATATCTATATATTGACCCATAATTTTATCTATTTTGATCTTGTTGTTCTTTCCTCTTTTTTTTTTGTAAATTTTCCTGTGCAATATAAAAAATAAAGATATGAGTAGATTTTATATTAAATTTTTTTATCTTATAATTAAGTGATAAGGGGGAAATGTATATAAATATTAATTAAATAAATATGAAATCTTAATAAATATAATTAAATCTAAACGAAAATCTATACCTATTTAATTATAAAATAATCACTTATCAAATTCCCTCACGCTTAGCTTGTTGATTGTCCTCAAGCAAATACTTTTGTGTTTTGCCTCATTCCTTATATAAATATATTAAATGTAGGACCTTTGCTCAAGGCACTAATAAAACTTAACTGTATAACTAATTTACCAAGATTTAATATGAGAGAGAAAGACAATAATTCTGCCACTACTACCACAGGGAGTAAATTTAGTTCTAATTGAGCACTTATTTGTATAATGTATTAGTTTATACCCTTAGGCCTTACATGTTTTCTTTTAAGTTAGTGCAATGGGGTCACCATTTTTAACTATTCAGGTATTGCCTTTCTTCCTTAGATAATCCCTAGGCCCTTTTGATGCTAGCCCTCATATTGGTGATACAAGAGCCCGGTTACTCAAACTCAGGGAACTTTATTGGCACACTCTTAATGCTTACTAAGCTATTTAATGTGAAGGCCAACATTGGTGATGAAAGCCCCCACTTACTAGGCCTAGTTGGCATCAATAGAGTAGATACTTGGCATTCTTTTTTTTCATGTTTTAGTATCATTCCCTTTTTTAACTACTTTGTAAGGTATTAGATTTTCAAACATAGACATGAATAAATAGGATAGATAATTTGTGCATTAAGCATATTTTTGATAAACTCCCATGGGGTATTGGCAACCTTGAGTTCTTTCTCGAATATATAGTTA